TCTCTCTCTCTCTCTCTCTCTCTCTCTCTCTCTCTCTCTCTCTCTCTCTCTCTCTCTCTCTTTCACACACACACACACACACACACACACACACATCTCACACACATACTAAAATAAAAGAACCTATATGTTTGTTATTGAATTAAAGTGAGAATAAATGATGCTATTATTTACAGCCTCTAGAAAAATTGCTCAGGAGGAGGGAGATTTGTGGGCGATGTTCTCAAAGTCACCTTGCTTGCCTGTTCTAGTAAATTTACCTTCATGTATCACTAAAAAGATAAATTAAGCTTTTCCAGATCATCATTGACAAAGAGGATAAAATTCCAGTTGACATGGCTTATGTAGCCTTCATATACTATAGGAACATGTAGCTCAAAACAAAATAACACTTCTTGTCTTAAAATTAATTTGTGAGATTTATGTCTATGAAATTGAGTTTGAGTAAGAGAATTAGTGATATTCAAATAGGTAAGTTTGCAGTATAATGTAGTTTTAAAAATGTTTTTAAACATAGACAGTAGAACTTTATCATAGTAGATGCAGTGGCATATATAAAACATCATGCTTTAAAGAGATGGACATATTTCTTATAGATAAGTCCCAATGCCTATTTAGACCTGCAAATACATCTAGGTGTTTACATTTATACTCAATAAAGTTTTCTTTTCTTCCCACTTAGAATGGTGAGCAAACTATGTATAAATGCTCGATCACTGCCAAGGTAGGAAAACCTAGACTGATAATGTAACAAGACCATGGGACCACTAAAGATGGCCCTCACTTTCTAGGGTACTACAGTTCAGAATCACATCCTCCTGTTTTACTGGGACTCTCCAGAGACCATGTTGGAGTTTTCTGAGGATGGCATGCCCTTGTGATGACATGGGATGCTCATTGAAAATGGAGCCCCCCTTACAAGGGGAAGCAAGACCAACAGATAAATGATGCTTAGAAGCACTAGCCCTTCAGACACTGGGTTACACCTGAATTCATCTTTAGACTCTTTAGTCCTTAATTTTCCTCAAAGTTTAAATTGGCAATTTGCATACAATCAGAGCATTAGTTAAGTCGTGACCTGACATCTGGATAAGAGAGGAGGTGAGCTATATGGTGATCCCCAGACTAGACACTGGATATTGCCACAAACCCCATATTTTATTTTCCAAAAGCCTTAAGTAAAGAATAACGCTAATAATTGCCAATGCGTGCATATATGTTTTCATTTGATGGAAAGCATCGATAGGAACTTATTCACAGTCCTCTCCTGACAATCACAAGTGTATGAAAAGGATAAAGTTGTGTCGTTTGCTTTTTTCTACTTTACGATGTCTCTGTGCCATGTTCTCCTCCAGCGTGCTATCTCACTTTCTGCAGTTCCTGTCTCAGCCAAGAGGGCAGAGGCTGCCCCAGCCTGTGCAACAGCTTCGAGAGCTCCACATTGTGGTCGCGATAGTAACTGGAGAGGAAAGTTCTGGACTGGGAAACCAAAAGCAAGACTTAAAAGACACTCAGGACATCAAGTGTCTGTACTTCAGAAATAGTCTATCACAATATGTATCTACAAAATAGTTTACCATTTTTTCTTAATCATTTTACATTTTGACACATTCTGTATGAAATCACAGATGTAAAATACAAAAAGGAACAAAAGCATCCTGGGAGAGTTAACTAAAATTATGGCATTTACACATTTTGAGATTTACAAAGAGAAAATTACAGTATAATACCAGAGGATGAGGAAGTGTTCATACACAACTAGATATACAGGGGAGAATGAGATAAAATATATACAAATTTCCTTTAAAAATTGCTCCTTACATTAAAATTTTTAAGACCATAACTGTCGGTAAAGAGTACAATTAATTATTATAATTATAACTGACCATAGTACATATTTTAAAATTCTATTCAGGAATTTTCTTTTCATAAAACAGTACATATAATATGTATGAAAAATAGGCTTACTTAAAATATTTTTAGATGCTTCATCAATCTAAAGAGTTTGGTCCTTTTTTTAGATAATCATGAAATATTTTACGTTTTAACATTTTTCTTAGCTTTTTCAAGGTTTATTGTTATTTGTATACATGTATGTGTGTCTCTGTTTATTCAAGTACTCAGGTACCTGCAGAGGCTAGAAGAGGATATGGAATATGATTGAATTACAGTAAGTGCTCATAACCAATGAGCTATCATTCCAGAATCCAGATAAATGTGTGAATATATGTATGTAAAAATCTATATGTGTGTATATATATACATACAAACAAATATATACATATACATAAAATATTTATGCATATATACATATGTGCATATATGTATATATATGTATATATATGTATATTTATATACATATTTCTGAAACACTGAAAATTGTTAACCTGTTTTTTTCTGCCATATTCTTCATACAACAATCCAATAAACAATTGTTTTGTTTTAACTGTCTACCGTAAAATTCATCACTATTTCATGTATAAATATTTGTACTGATCAAACATATTTTCCATTGCACAGAAACTCTACCATCTCTCTTAAGCTCTTCTCTACATTTTTAGCACAAATGAATTTCTTTCTTCAAAAAACTCCCCTAGCAACTTTTGTGTATACTGTGGAAATGGATTTAGGACAATTACATTTCATCTTGGACCATTCGCCAGGCATTTCATTATGTTTCTTCCCTTAAAGCAGATGGTAAGCACTTCAAATAGGGAATAAGATGTTTACAGTAGTGGGAATGTTACATTGATGTTTTGGGCAGATTAAAGTGATTTCTGAAACCCTTTAGAAATTACTGAGTTCAGAAGTATTTCAAGGACTTTCTGGCACTTATATCACCATGGCAACACATGAAGAATGCATCCTGCCCTTGCCCTCCTTGCCTTAAGAGAAATGCTCATACTATCTGGCCAGTTTCCCAGTGTAATTTCTTATACAAGGCATCTTTCCACATATTATAATTTCTACTAATTTTTGTACTTTATTATTATTTTATGCCTCTTATTATAACTCAGTGACCCTAACTTTGTTCTTCACTGTAAAATGAATTCATAGGTATTTTATCCTTGTGTCTTCTGTATTGGTTAGCTCAGTTCCAGTCATGTTATTGATACTGAACATATGTGTGCTGATTAGTTTTTGTCCACTTGACATAAACTAGAGACATCTGAGGAGAGGGAACCTCAACTGAGGAATTGACTCCATCAGTTAGTTTGCGGGCATGTCTGTGGGGACATTTTTTTCGAACTCTTAATGCAGGAGGGCTCTGTCCACTGTGGGAAGTGCCAACCCTAGGCCTGTTGGCCAGGGCTGTTTAAGAGTGGTAGCTGAGCAAGCTATGGGAAGCAAGCCGATAAACACCATTCCTCCATGGTTTCTGCTTCAACTCCTGCCTCTAAGATCTTACCTTAGTTTCCTTCAGTGTTGAATTGTGACCAAGAAACCATAAGCTAAAGTTAACCCTTTCCTCTCCAAAGTTGCTTTTTTAGAAATGCTGCTTATCACAGCAACAGAAAGCAAACTAGAGCAGTATGCACTTAATATGTATTAGTAATACTTTATTCTTTACACCAATATTTACTAAAAAGGTACTTGAAGTGCTTTCCAATGTGTAAAGGAGAAACTTTTCCATATATATTTATGTCTGAATAAAATTTCAACAAAAATTCAAGTGATGCATTATATCACTGCTCTCTTCTTTCTAATATCTAAGTATATAAAGCTATTGATTGCAAAAAAAAGTATCAGAAGAAAGAATCAGATTTCTTCCCAATTTTCAAATGGCAACTTCCTGCATGAGTAATTCAAGGCGAGTAAACAATACCTCTGGATCCATGGGTGGGTATTTTCGGCCTTTGCTTTTCCCAAGGCATTTTGTTTTTCCTCCTTCTAGTAGTTGACACCAAAAGCCTTTCTGGGGATCAAACCTAAAATACATAAAACATGTAAAAATTGCAATATATATTCAGTAAAGAGCCTTGCCAGTCAGTATCCCTGTTTCTTTAACTTAACTCATTTCTACAGATGTTCAACTGATTTTAGAAATAATAATAGATATTAAAATGCTATGTTTTATTATATATTTTCAAATAGTTCTACTTTACAAGAAAGACACATACACTTTTAGTACAATTTTATGCTGGAACTTTGTGTTGCATATTTTAGTTATGAATCTACCAAAAAAACCCTGAATGACTAAACATTAAAACTAGAGCCTGCATATAAAGGGCCTTTGGATATTTTGTTTACCTATGACTGTGATTTCCATGTCAAAATATACTGAAAGATTTCTAAGAAATCATTTAGTGGGTTACCTTGAAGGAACTGAATTTTGTAGATATACTTGTAAGGGAGAGGGGCCCCTCAGAGTCAGAGCAAGACATACCCAGACACCATATTTTCACAAAACAGGAGACATTTTACCCCAGAGCAGGTAGTAGGGGTGAGAGGGGTGAGCCTCTGGATCAGGCAGAGGCAGACAGCTGAAACATCAGTAGCAGGTGATTTTTACAGGAAAGGGGTTTTTAAGGATTCAGCGGGGTAGTCTGTGCTTCAATGAGTTGGTAAGTCCAGATTGGACATGTTAGCTAAATAACGGTTTTTGATTGTTCAGCTTTGGTGTTTGGTCTCAGGAGTGAGTCAGTGGCCAAACAAGAGAATGGACCTTGGGGATTAGCTTTAGGAAAGGAATCTAATGGTTTTTAGCAAGGGAGTGGGAAATGGGAAAAGGGCAAATCTGTCTGCATCATATTTGTCCTGCTCAGGCTTGCTAGAGGGCACTTTAATACTATTCTGAGTACAAGTGTAATCAAGCTTTCTAATTTGGAAAAAGGCTGTATTTTACTTTATAGTTAAATTTTACTTACAATTTTCAAAAAATAAATAAAAATGTAACAGAATGGTTTCAATCTATTTTATAGTACTTCATTTAATCCTTCAAATAAATTTGGAGGGTTTTTTTTTACAATTAAAAAATTAAAACATTCAAGAACATGACATTGTGCTTAGAAAGAATAAACTCCTCCTAATTAAACATGGTTTTATTTAACAGTTACCTATGTCTTCCAAATGTTTTCAAAGTCTAAAGCTATAACTCACTATAGTGTTTTCAGACATGAAACATAGGCACTACAGTTAGAGAGGAAAATGCCACTTTCTCCTTGCCTGTTGTGGAAGACAGACAGTCCTGTTGGATGGTTCTCATAGCTGTTCTTCTGTACTTAAAATTTTTTTTCAGCTTCTGTCACATACTATACAGCCCAAAACTATTTCACCTTCAGACTGGGGAGAAATGCTCAACTATATGTAGACTCAATATCTTGCAGTAACAGTATTGAGAAAATTCTCAATGTACTTATTTTAAAGAAAATCAAGTATAATTTTTCAGGGTAGAACACTGCACTAATAGCCACCAGCTTTAAAAAAGCCCAGTCATTAGAAATAATCATTAAAAGAGATTGTCAAGTTTATGAAGGAATGCATTGAGTCTCTAAAACTCATCCTATGCTAGGCAGAACATGTGTGTCATACGTTGATGTGTTTCTGATTCAACCTCTTTGCACTTGTAAAATTCAAACATTAAACCACCATTTCCTGGAGGACACAACACTGTGGTCATTAAAGTCATTTCCTAAAATGACATCAAAATAGAATAGAATAGAATAGAATAGAATAGAATAGAATAGAATAGAACAGAATAGAATAGAATACAATAGAATCTGGATTTTCCATATTGACCTTTAACACAGTAGATGCCACAGCTTCATGGACTTCATAATCCTCAGCACTTTCTCATGGAAACTCTTTATACGGCAGAGTGGGAAATACAAAATTACTGCCATATGTAGATGGAGATTCATACTGTGATTGACATGGTAGTGAGACAGCCAGCTTTTTCTGAGGGTAAATTGCTGAGAGTCCACCTCTCAGAGCATGATCACTGAGTGTGGTTGGTCAATGGTACCATCAAGGCTCAGAGGATGCAATGGGTTTCCATTTTGCATTATTTTTTTCATTTGCATTGATTGAAACAAGACCATTCCAACAAATAGAAGCGCAAAATATACAATTCTGATGTTGCTGGTTTAATTTTTTTCAGGCACTTTTCTTCTTACATGGGCAAATTAACTTAATTAAAATCAGGCAAAATGAGCAAGGTCATATTCAGAAATGTGTCCCTGGTTTTTTCAGCAAAGAGATAGCCTTCTGTTAATGCAAAGTTCTTTCTGATTCTTTATCAGTGGGTCAGTTGAACACTAAGACTTTGGCAAACCCAGAGAAGAAACCAGTGCCACCAACATGTCTGAAGCCTCTCCAGTGTGCTGCTCAGCTTCTGCATGTGAATAACACATCAACTAAGATAGTGGTGTGCCCACTATTAACTCAGCCATCCGTCCAGCCGGGTACCATTTGGGGTTTAAACTTCCAAATGCCCAGTTTACATTCTCCTTGTCATATATTTGCACTTGCAATGTTGATCCAGCCAAAGTGCAGAAGATGGATGTGTTAATTCTAATTCCAACAGGGAACAGAAAACTGAACACAAACTACAAGCAGAGGCATAATCACACACACACACACACACACACACACACACACACACACACACACAC